ACCGCAGATGGTTTTCCTAACTTTTTAGATCCATGTAACGTATCATCTTACCCTGCTACCATTCTATTTACTTTGCCTCGCCTTTTTACCTATTGAACGTCTCATCCTTTCGGCATTGCCTCAACTTCTATTCGGAAATGCCCACAGTATGCTGACTTGTTTAATTCTTCCCATTTAGGTGGAATGGGTTCGGAGAACGAACTTCAGACGGTGCTGGACGAGATTGCCAAAACAGACGCGAATTTGACGTGGAGAAGGAATGCTAATCTTATACACGCAGAACACTGAAAGTATCATTAAGGTTTAATTTGAGACGCCAACCAAGGGATTAGTATGCAATGGCCGTGATGAGACAGCAGAGTGAGCACTGAAAGACAGTTGAAATAGGCGACGGGTGCAAAGCAGCTTCTGGTTTACGGCTGAGCAGCGCACAACTAAGTGGACCTGTGCGTTGTTTTGGATCCCTCAAACATTGCTTCAAGCACAGCTAGATGTGAAAGCCCACTCCTTGGTGTTTGATTCACAGCTTATTCTCAGACAAAGTAGCCATCCCCAGTGCCGTCGTTGTATTTTCTTTGTACTTCTTTTTCAGGCTATCGTTAGAGCTGATTTGCCAATTTTGAAAGACTGGTGTTATGAAGCGGTAAGCTGCATTAGTTATCAGTATTACCACATATTTCAGCCTTATAATGTTCTGGCCACTCCGCTGAAACAAATCCAAGAATTGGGACTTGTATCCGACTCCAGGGTGCTTGATGTGAGCCATGTTGATGTAAGTCATATGAATTTTCGCTTTTCAATCATTTTTGACGCTAGTAATTCAGAGCTAGTTGCGTAATGTATTTCTGACTACCCGATGCCGCCTTTGCTGTTGATCAGTTGACTTATAGGTGGTGAAGTGATGGTTCAGATTGAATGGTCACAACAGCTTCTTTCTCCCCTGTGCATGGGTCTTCGGAGAGTTGTTAAGTTCGGGAGCATGGTCAACTAGGAATGCTCTTTCTGGATGGTATGACAAACACGTTTCATGCCTGCATCACACCAGATCGAGTACGATCCGATGGGTGACTGTTTACGGTTCCAAGCACTTTCATTGTTGAACTTCAGTGCTTGCACTGAAAAAACCTCTGGAATTCTCCCCCCCCCCCAAAAGCATTCATCGTTCAAGATTAAGTTTTGCAACTTAACGCAGAAAAATTAAAGAAACTACGCAGAACACATGTCTAGGAATTGCTACCACTCAGACTTTGTAATTAATGCGACGTCTGTAGGGACATCATTATGAACCTGACTTGTAAATTCTTGACGAAATGCTGGCGTGGGTACGCGCTGAGTCGTAAGCGAATGGTTTTCAGATCATTGGTTTGCTACCAAGCCGTCTTTGGTACAAGTACAGTTCAACTTCGTTATAATGGTACCGGCTTTTGGAGGAAATAGCCATATAGCAAATCGTGCTCAGTAGAAAGCCGTTTCCGAACTCTTTTAATTATGTTTTGCCATCCGAAATGAAAGATGAATACCTTACTACGTAGAGATAAGAAGTCGCTTTTAGCCACTAGGTTGGTGAATAGTATATACTTTTTATAGAACTCAGTGGGAAGCGTTCGCTTCTGCTTCTTCTCGGAAATGGAGTAAATTCTGGTATAACCTGAGAATGCACATCTGAGATCTTAGGCTCTATGGTTGCATAACGTGGCTTCAGCCGCTTTTTTTCCTTGTGTGGCTGTCCTCTGATTTGGTGACAATCTGTTCAGACAACGTGCCAAATTCTGGTTCAGTTGGGGCGAGATGGCCCGAGTGGTCAGAGCGCGAATTTACTGACCGGAAGGTCCGTGGTTCGAATCCGACCTCCGCCTCTCGACTTCCCCTGTCTAGGCTTGGGCAACCTGGCAGTATCCCAGTCCTCGTGCTTCCTTCGGGTGACATGACAGCTAGGCACCGGAAGGGTGCTACAGCTGAACGCTTTTAATTCTGGTTCAGTTGCTTCATTCAAGGCAGCGGACTCCGTATGCGTCATATTGTCGGAGCTGCTGCTGTTGAGTAAGCAAACGATGAAGCTTCATAGGATCATCTGCTGGACGTAGTTCGGTACTGGTTATATCGATATCGCGAAAATATTTCTGCCTTTAGTTCAACAAAATGGGGCAAATTATCAAACTTTCTCCTGCAGACAGGCAAGCCGACTCGATTATCTTTTTGGGAGGGGAGGAAAGCGGTGCGTTTAAACGATTATCCTCATAAATGTCCATCGATCCAAGCAAGACTGTCATATTCAGTAAAAACCACTCGGTAACGATATCAGATAACAAAACTGGTACCTGCCATCTCGCGACATGTTTGTTCTTCTTGCGTCTTGTACCCATATTCATCGCTCCACTTGCACGCTGCATCCACTCGCATACACCACTGGAGTGCTTATGTGCTCATTGATCTCGTCCACCAGTTGGATTACAGGTCCAAACATCAAAGTTTCAGTAAGCCGGACCGGAAAACACACTGATGCATCCGCTCTCTGTAGTCGGGGCTGTTGTCTGGGGGTCTTATGGCGAGGGAAAGCTGATAATGTGTCTGCATAACAACTGATTACGACCACATTTTCTAGAGAAAAATAAACCATCGGCTCTGAGTTCATCGGTCGGTAGTTATGGTATGGTAAAGGTCAAACTCAAATCATTATCTTTTGCTGAGATAAGATACTGATAAAGTCATGTTGTCGATGGTTTACGGAACCTCTCCAGAATAATGTGGTATGGTAGCCGCGGTATGAATAACGCCAGTTTTGACATATGGAATCGGCTGGTTGCTAACCCCGATGGAGCTAAGTAATCGCTGTGCTTTTGTCAGCCCAGATGTCTGGATGGGAGTCGCGCGAAGGAACCGAAAATCACGTCGTTGGACGGATTGTATCGCGATCTGGGTGACTAAACGAAGACACACCTCTATTGATCAGAACATGGGGCTACCAGAATCGAACATTTTCAACTCGGCGCTTTTCGCCCCGTCACGTAGATTCTAGTTCGACCTCGCGGAAAATCCTTTAATAACTCTATCAATATATGTGTATCAACTTCTCTTTATCTCCACTGAAAACCGTTTTAAGCTATGATGTCTCTTGATGAGGAAACGGCAAGCCGAGGACCAGTACAATAGTTGCAGTTCACCACACCAGACCAAAATACAGGTCAAAACGTTATGAAGTCTCAGTTGTCCAACTATTGCCAGAAGCGAGTTGAATATGGAGTAAATGCCAACCTGTTCAATCCATCAATGTGCTCGGATCTAATGCGAACTTCAATCTTGTCCTTTGGATTGATTCTATTTTTGGGATACTGGACAGTGACAGTGGACACTGCCCAGAACGGTGAATTTTTACCATTCACTGAACAACTCACCGTATTAGTCAACACAAAATGGAGGCTGTTGGATCGGTCACATTGTCACTCGTTTTCACAGACGCACAACATACATACGGCACTAAATGATATTGGTTTTGACCCGAAATAGGAGAATATTTATTACAGGATGCTTCAGACTAATGACTAAGCGACCTCTTCTGGGAGCGTATCTCGTCAGATTGGGCTGCTTTTTTGACGAGATGTCCTGTTCTCACAGGGACTGCTGTGAAGTGTGATGTGCATAGACAGTCGTCTAGAATTCCTAGAGAGATCGCCTGAAAAAAGACATACAGTACTCTCCCCGGGATGCCCACTAACCTGACAAGAGGTGATTTTATAATAGCGTCGTTTGTCAGCGATGATCTTGTGTGCGACCCAATCCTCAGGAACGATAAAATATCTCTCGCCTAGTTGATCCCTATTGGGAAAGGTTTTACGCTCATATGGAGTTGCTACTTAACTACTTGATACTCCCTGTGATTTATACGCCTAATGAACGTATGTGCTTCGAATCCTACTTCCGTAGCGTTTTACACCCCAAATTTTGCTGCCAGGAGGGAGGCCCTTGTGACGTCAAACTGACTAACCACATCCGCATTCGACCACAAAAGTGCCATTGCTTTTGAACATATTTCCTGTGGGTTCAGTGGTTAGAGCGCGAATTTACTGACCAGAAGGTTCTTGGTTGGAACCCGACCTCTGCATCTCAACGTCCCTTGTCTAGTCTTGGGCAACCTGGCAAGTATGCCAACCCTCGTGCCTCCTTCGAATGGCACGGCAGCTAATCACCGAAAGGGTGTTACGGCTGAACGATTATTTTATTACTTATGTAACATATTTCCTTAAGCAATGATTGTCAAGCAAGCTATTTTTAGTCAGAGATGGGAGTCTGAAGACAGATGCACAGCTATTCCTTGCGTTCATCGTATTCTTCATCTGTATTCCAGATCCAGATGGGCAAGATGATGGAACAGGGCCCTGTATTGGTCATCAGTTTCCAGGCGCAGCAGATTAACTGCATTCGTGACAAAAACGGCGCTGTGCATGAAGGCGATCCGCACAAAGTCCTCAGAGTAACACACGTCTGGGCGTTATGTCGCGACCAAACCGAATTTCACCCATGGGCTGCTTGGCGTCTCCTTGATATTGCCATGATGCCTACTGAGCAGTGGCTTTGAGCACGATGTGGAATCCACTTGGAACTGGACTCCCTGTATAGTTACTGCTATTTTACCACTTCGCCCAAATTACTTTTGTACAGTATTAGTTTACTGATGACTGTCATTATTCTTATCAGAATGGATAAAATCAACCCTTGAACTTGTGTTTCGTACTTGTGGTGAGTACTGTTAGGATTGTATCGCTTAGTTGTTCGGGATTTTCAATTCAAAATAGCAGTTTGGGTCTGTTTACCCACATGGACCTATGGAAATTGTGCCTTTTTCGCTTGGATTTATCTTCCAGAAACGCTTCACGTAGCTTCTCTCAACCGTGTTGTATCAAGACCTCCCGAGATTTTGAACTATGCTTGTACCAACCCGCTTCCACTGGCGGACACTATTTAAGTTTCACCGGAAATGTCTGTTCGGTGGCTTGGTCGCCCTGCGGGTTGCCTTTTAGTGTCTGCATTTGTCACCGTTCGGTTATCTGTGTTTATGGTAACACCTTGCAAAGCCTTACCTAAGACAGAAACAGTGAAGCTGAAGACAGGAAACGCTCCCTAATATGGAACCGGAAAATACTACATACATCCTTCTGATGAGCGGGAACCGTTTCGAGTGACAAAATCGTGTAAATAAATGGCTATATTATTGCTAATGGGCATCAACCTCTATCTATTGCGAAATCCCCTCAGCAAAGGATACCTTGCGTCTAGGGGCATTTTTAGGACTTATCGTTGAGATCCCCATAGGAATTACGGATACTTCAGTGAGCCAGACAAATGACGCTAGACAACCTTATTAGGCCGAAGAAACTCCACCACAAGACGTGCTATTCATTAGCGGATATTCCCCATTATTGGGGGCAAGATGGCTCATTGGTTAGAGAGTTAATTTACTGACCGGAAGGTCCGTGGTTCGTACCCGACCTTTGCCTCTCGACTGTCTAGGATTTGGCAACCCGGCAGTATCCTATCCCTCGTGTCTCCTGCTGGTGCCATAGCAGCTGGGCACTGAAATTGTGCTACAGCTGAACTATTTTCGCACTCCCCATGATTCATTCCGACTCATGAACCCGTTGGTCGGGGTGCTGGTGTGATGTTGCATTATGAAGCCGAATCATTGAGCGAATGGCAACTTCGCTTCAAACTGACTAAGTTCGTCTCAGACCGGTTCTATCTGGTAGTTCAGAGTTTCCTTCCGTAACCCTATTCTCAGAACGATGAAATTAGATATTGAAGTAGGGAGCAACAACCGCGGCGAGAGGACGAATCGCGACCATCCTTAATCCAGTTAGCCATCGTGTGCGCGGAACACTGTGAAAAACGATACCCGGAGGGGTCTTTGTACCCTTTTTATAGCAATGATTTCCAACTTGTTTCGAACCGTGAACCTGTATATCATGACTGGTTATTCTCTGGCCCAAATAATACGAAAAGCAGTAAACAGTATAAATTTGAGTCACCATAATCTGGAAGGAGAACAAATCCCAGTGGGAATACGATTTTACCAACTTCTTAATCGGTTTCAGTTAATCGGAAGCCTGTAAGAGTTTCTCCCTTGGTGAGCACCAAGAATTGCAGGGGTTGCTTGATGAGACAACTTGCTTTATTCACTCACTTAACTTTGTAGCCGATCGTATTAAAGCTGACATAAGCACGTATAAAAGCACTCCACAGATGGCGACTTGTGCTGGTTTGAGATTGGCATCACGTTCCAAGGGGGTAGACTTCCTGATTTTTTTTCATTCGAAGCCCACATTGTTTAAGAGACTCGATGACAAAAGAATGAACTGATGGGAATACCTAGAACCACTAAAACTACTTGTGTACGGTTTACGGGTGATGGATACGGATGGATATTATGGAAATTCTGTGTTCTGAAATCTGGATGGTCATAGCCGCCACGTTACTTCGGGAGTGGTAAGCCAACGATGCCGCATTTACCCAAGTGCGCAGTGGATATTATGGAAATTCTGTGTTCTGAAAGCTGGATGGTCATAGCCGCCACCTTACTTCGGGAGCGGTAAGCCAGCGATGCCGCATTTACCCAAGTGCGCAATCCGTCACGATTACTTTGACGAATAAAGTGCGTCTCGGGACAATGATAAAAGTTTATTTTTTACCACAGCTATTCCATGAAAATTTCAAAAACTTTGCCACAGGAACATAAAGCGGTAGAAAAATCATCGAATAAGGCTTGTGTACTTATGTCGAAATAAGGACGGCCCTAACACCGACTAGAACAAGTTCGCTGTATAGCACACCGTAGATCAGAATGATGAAGGAAGCTAACGTAGGACTCGTTGGCCGAGTGGACCCACTGACACGGTGCAACAAGACAGACGTCGCCGGTACGACAGGTGGAACAAGCAGCTTATCTAAGTGTCGTCATTTCTGTTCAGGCCTTAGTGCTCGATACTGTGTAAGATTTGTTCGCCTGCCCAAGGGTCAGCCCCAACTTCTTTACTATCTTACTTTTAATCGCTCTACGGGAGGTGGTGACACCACCGTGTACAACTGTTTAAGGCGCTCCATCTGGTGGATGGTTAGGACTGAAAGCCTGTTCGAGTCTCAGGCACATACAGCATCCGCACTCCTGGGACGAGATCAGGGGGCACTGAGAAGAGACTGGACGGTCATTGGGTAAGGACCACACCTAAAAACAGTGTCAAGTGATTCGAACACGATGAATTGGATTAGTAATTGTTGTTTTCCAGGTAAGGCGCTCCTTCTCTGACAAGCCCTTGAAAATTCCCCTGAGGAGTATTCCGTCCAGTTGAAAACCTCTGTTTAGGCGTAAGCCACACGAAAGAGAATTGTTGATGAATAAAGTGTCTAGATATCAAACGCTGAGATATCCTTGCAAAACACGTCTCCGTCTGAGTACTTGGAAAGCCAGTAAATTCATTTCCTATATCTTCGCGCTTTAGCACGTCAAGCAAGTTCAGGATGAACGCATTGACTCTGGCACTCGGATCTTGGAGAATAGGTCATTTAAGTGCCGACGGGTGTCCCTTATTGACAGTTCACCTTCCGTATTTTGTCGTCATTGAAGACATTACTGTCGGTCATCGTAAATATGAGAAAAATTAAGCGTTTCCTGCAAACGGGATCATCTGAAACGTTTGGTTTGCCTAAGCGAAGGCTATTTGTGTGGAAATGCATCGATCGTAGCTTAAACAAAGGTCAGCATCGTGTGCTCGGGAAACATCTCACCTACAGTAACACCTCCAAGAAAGCCTACTTTAAGCATTTATCCTTAATTTCTTTTAGGATTCCTTATTTGTACGTAGCCTTACCACTATTTCAAACAACCTCAGGCCCAGTTTCTGAAAACTTTCCGAAACCATTGTCTCGGCGTAACTACAATGAAACCAACGAAAAGTCTATCTATAAAGGTTGAGATGTGGAAGAATAGCTCTGATCCCGAGACAAGTTTTACTTTTGAAAACCTTCGGAAGCTGTGCTTGAATTACGCCGGTTTTTTATCTCCCGTACAGCTCTTCAGCTTTACTACCTAACCCATCATGACTGAGTTGTTTACTATGAAGGACAACATGCCACTCACTAAGTCGACCGTACGCAGAAAACACCAGTTTAGTCAACAAACAAGCGAGCGATATTGAAGGACCAAGTGGTTAGAGCACAAATTCACTGACCGGATGGTCCGTGGTTCGAACCCGACCTCTACCTCTCGACTTCCCCTGTCTAGGCTTGGGCAACCTGACAGTATCCCAGCCCATATGCCTCCTTCGTGTGGCATGGCAGCTAGGCACTGAAAGGGTGCCACAGCTGAATGATTTGAGACCCCCGAGGTAACTTAGTGGTTAAAGTGCGGATTTACTGACTGAAAGGTCCGTGGTTCGAACCGAACCCCTGCGTCTCGTCTGCTCGTAACTAGGCTTTAGCAACCTGACAATATCTCAGCCCTCCTGCTTCCTTCGGGTGGCGTTTTAGTCATGCACCGAAATGGTGCTACGGCTCAACGGGCATATTTTCAGACGTCTCAACAGGAGAATATGACATACCGCATGTTTTCTTGGACTTTGAAACCCCGAGAACCAAAACTGATGCTCGAACAACAAATACTTATATGGGTACCAAACCATTGGAGGACCGCTGGATTTTGTGGGTTGCGTCCAGTAACTGTGCTATATTTTCAATGTCGAGAATAATGGAGTATGAATAAGTACCCCAAGGAAGGTAATTTGGACAATGGCCGGAAACTAAATATTGGACAACGGCTCTGCAAGAAACCCACTCCAACGTGGTACGATTAAGATCGATAACAAAAGATCCTGACCATCTAGCTGCTCAGAGTTGCGCGTAACATAGCTTGCAGAAAATAAAAGCATGCCTGGCACCCCTTCTTCTCAACCGCTCTAGCTTCGACATAGATCCGCGATCGCGGACACCTTGAAGGGCAGATTCTCCCTCATACAACAATATCCTCACTTCGAGATGGATATAATCCAATATTCGTTTTCCATTCAGGATCCTGCACAATATTCTCCTATTACTGGTCAGCTGGAGATCAACACTCTCCAAACATGATCAGCTGGAAACACTATTTTGTTTATTCGGGGAGTAACAATAAATCAGAAATACTAATACGGTCCCACGTGCAACAGATTTGTACAAATAAGTGAGTTTCTCGAAAGGATAATCATAGTCTCAACTAAACATTTGCATAATAGAGTAATCTTCCTGAGATAAAAGTTACGACGTAGATTCTGAATTCATTCCGTTCAGCTGCATGTTTCGACAACGTGTTTCAAGTTCCATCATCAAGTATGAACGCATGCTGACATCCGAAACCTTTGATATTTGCTTCCGAATATTCGTCACTACTGTGTCCAACTCGGCTTTCTTTGTCACGTTACTCATATCCGTTCCACATTCTAAGAAGTAGGCAAAATACCGATCCGCATAATCTAGCCAAACACAATTGGCACAACCTGTGCCACAGCAATACACTTCTTCGGGAGGTGTGGGTGGCCTTCGAGTTGACCGTGAGTTGGAATTGGATGACATTTTACGGTAACGCCGTCCGAACAAGGTGCCGATGCGCGATTCTAGAGGCTGAAAAAGATATACAGCATCAGTTATGCTTGCAGCGGCCTACTTTTTGGATATTGAAAGCATGATGCATCTTTACTGTTCAGCATTGCTGAATTCCCGACGTGTCTTGAAGTATATATCCCCTTTCTAGTCACAATGTTCCGCCCTGAAGTAGTAAAACAATAACAACGCATGACCCTTCAGACAAATGTCGTATGAGAAGCATTTGCCAACTTAGGATGTGTTCGGATACCGAACAACTCAAACGCACGTGGCATTCCGACCTCATTGAGGCTTACCAGTGGATCTCTTAGTTCACAGT